TGTTTTATCATTGCTGAGAAAGAACGTGAGCTGCTGAAGACGGTAGTTTGTCAGTGTTCAGTCCTCTTCGTTATTAAGTTACCCAAGCCTGACCAGCTGTACAGGCTATGACGACCTCGTCGCATGATAAAAGGGAGGCAATTTCGGCCACAAGCTGTCAAAACATCACGATTTCTTGAACGCCTTCAGCTATGCTATAACTCTTTAAAAGAAGTCGACCGTAAAAAAAAGTACTTTGCCGTCGTAATAGATTAACTATGACTTACAATTTCGTTGTTGGAGCCGACAGATACAACTTTTTTTCATAACTTGGGAGTAAACCGAACGCTGTTTTAGCAAAACGTTTTAAAACTATTTTCGTTTATAAATATATCAGACAAACAGGATGTTTTGCCAATTGCGCCGAGAAGAAATTGCTCGCTTTGACATTTAGCTGTATTGTTATGCAAAAGATTATGGTAAATTCGTAATGAACCTGCCAATATGCAGAATAGCCGTCGAAGCTTCTCGCTACAATCGGCACTCGCAGCAACTCGGCGAAACAGTGATGGCGGTCTATGCGGTCTTGATAATCTTCCTGGTCTCATATGTTGTTAATAAGATCGATGCAACCTCGTATGCAAGTCTTAGCTCCGCCGATGAAAACTTCAAGCTACAATGGACCTACAATAGCAGCAAGTTTATATTCAAGATGACTTGCAAAACCACAGGCTGGTGTGCTGTGGGATTCACCACCACTGCTGATGGAAGAGGCATGGTCGATTACGATATAGCGGTTGCTGGGTACGCTTCTAGTGCGGGTTATATTGATGTAAGTTGTATTTTCGTTTTTATATACGTTTTTAGCAGAGGTAATTTCGTAAGATGTTTTAGCAAGCCTCTCGCTTCGAACATGCATTCAAACTCAGCCCCTTAAACACACGGCCGGCCGACGTTTATTTAAGAACGTTGACTTTTAATTCAAGAACGTATGATGAACCAATGTGACCGTCTTCACCTTTAGCGAAAAATGTTTTAGTATCTGGTTAGGTGTAGAGTGCTTTGCACCATTTTTTCTTTTTTCCGTGAAAAAGTAGCTGTTTGCAGTTCCTATCAAACTTAAGCGTCAAATTCTTCTCATGTCGTTTTATCATTGGCAACACTTCACTATGGGATTGACGACTAGAAGTATATTCGCAACTTACACGAAAGGACACGGTTTTTGTTATTGTTTAGATTTTCTTGTGGTCGTTAAGAATTCACGTAATCTGGGATTAAATTCTGCCAAAACATGACCGCATTATCTTCATACGCTATCCGAAAAACACTTTTTTATAATTACGGGAGAATTTAGTTCCTCATTCTTAAATTGAAAACACGTTTGTTAAATGCAGTTTATGTAATATTAGCAGCTTGCATCTCCGCACACAGGGCTACAAAACAATAATGCAGTTTTCCGTGGTTCCTTGTTAAGAAAAACAATGGATTACCATTGGAATTAAAAACAAAACATGAAATTAAAAAAAAAGAAAGAAACAGACAAAATTAACGGTCTCAGTCGATCAGTCACGAAACTACGCTTCGATCACTTTGCCTTCCATAAACCATCGCTACCCTGTAGTTTTCACATTACAAAATCTTGCAACCACTTTGCAACCTCAGACATCATTTTTTCTCGACTGGAACTCTTCGTACATAAACCTCGCCTGGAAACCGCGACGTCAAATCGGCGCGAAAAATTTGCATACTAGTAATTCACATGCACAGCTATTTTTAGTGTTGCTCTGAATGGACACGGAAGATTGTCTGCGCGAGTTCGAGACAAATTTCATCACGTACACCGCCGAATTGATTGCGTTGTAGATGAACAAAATTGTCATCATACACGACTGCGTTATGCAAGGACATCGCATCTTAATGGTGCCGGTCTTGCATTCAAATTTTGCGAAGTCGTTAGAAAATGCACGGGTAACGTACATAAATGAAGGGTGCGTTCCTTCAGGATGATCTGTATCAGGATCAGTGATCCAAGATCACTCGGATCATGGTGCATCAATGGAACCGATGAATCCACTCTGGTCACGGATTCATNGGTTTAATGAGCAAAACAATAGCTGTGCACGTGCGTTATAAAACTTTGTACATTTCTTTGCCGTCCTCTGCAAATAACAACGTGAAATGACCAAATTCTTCGTCGTCTACTGAATGTGGACCACGACGGCTAATTTTTCGTGTTTCCATTTGGAATTGAACGCTGTCATTGCATATTTAGCTTGAGTACGTTTTCACAGCCATTGGCGCACCAAACAGATCTAGGCAATCGCGATTTTCGCTGGTAAAATATAAATTCATTTTTGACTAGACGTCGTCCTCGGCGTCGTCGTCGTCGTTGCTTAAGTTCCCTAATACTCAGAATTCAAATTCATTATTACAAATTAACGCGATTGTTTTCTGAATTGTCCTGTAGGATCGTTGGAGTATCTCGAGAACCCAGCCTTCAAATGATACAGAGCAAAACTTCAACCTCATGAACGCAACTGAACAGGACGGACAGACCATGGTGGAGTTTTCCAGAGACGCGCTTACGGGCGACACTGCCAATGATGTGCAGTTTAAGGTATGTTTAAACTAATGGGAACATTTTAGCGAGAAAAAGGAACGAGGCCAGAGAACTTGACGAGCTATTAAGCATTTGGAAATGATCAAACTAGTGTTGAAATAGGTAAGTTAAGAGAAGTCAGGAGCTCTTCGGTTAAGAGAAGTCAAGAGAAGAGCTCTTTTGAGAAATAAAGAACCGACTAATGGGAACATTTTAGAGAGTAAAAGGAACGAGGCCAAAGAACTTGACGAGCTATTAATTATAAACATTTGGAAATGCTCAAACTAGTGTTGAAATAGGTAAGTTAAGAGAAGTCAGGAGCTCTTTGGCTAACAGAAGTCAAGAAAAGAGCTCTTTGAGAAATAAAGAGCCGACAAAGCATGGCTTTGATTAGAAGCCAATTGACGACTTTAACGGATAGAGGAAGCATTGCCGCAAGTGAAAGTGGCTTAGCTGCTGTCGTGGTGTTCTCCAGAAATGCTATTACGGGAGACAATGCCGAAGATATGCAGTTTATGGTACGACTCCATCCTAATGCAAAAATTTTCATATTATGGAAAAGTGCGAAGAAAAATTATTGGTATAAGGCCTATATGGGGGATTCACTCTGTTACCTTTATAATCTTTTGTAGGAGTTCAATCGTAAGTTCTCCCTTACAATGTTACACGTTACGTTTTTGCACGAATTTTTCATTTTAATGTAAGGAAAACTCAAGCCCCCTCCCCTCTCCCCTTCCAAAAAAGAAATAAACGAACAACGGTCGCACATTTTGCGCTGTGTAGCAAAAGTCTATAATTATAGGAGTCCAATCTTGCGGGCTCCTTAACAACGTTACAAGTTCTTTTTTTTTGCACGAATCAAACCCAAACCCTAACTCCCACAGTGCCTCACTCCACACAGGCTCCAGTTGTTCAAAGGGTAGATAAATCTATCCACCGGATGAATCGCTATCCAGTGGATAAATGTTCACAAAACAAACCGCACTATCCTCTGGATAGCGATTTATCCTGTGGATAGCGTTATCCACCTTTCGAACAACCTGGGCCAGGTAATTAAATGATTATCGGCGATTATAATGCTGGGCTAGCTTTTCACCTTTCTGCCGGAACCATTCCAATATATAGAAAAAAAGACCTCCAAATACGGAGCCAGATGTTTATTTCTGGAGATGTAGTGCCATTTTTGAATCAAACTCGACTATGGTACAAGCTGCAATTGTTTTTTTCATTACAATGTTTATCTACAGCTGACTCTTTTGCTTTGCAGAATGATACTGAAGTCAAAGTTGTATATGCTTACAACACCAGCAGTGATGCAAATGGTGGCCTACGTTCAAAGCACACTAACAGAGGGATTTTAGATGGAAAGCACAACCTGATACTGATGGCAATATCCGCCATGCAGCCATCTTCCACAATGATGCCTCCAACTTC